TTTTGTTAGTGTCTCCAGTCTAGGACTGGGGGTAGATTTCTAATTGGATGCCCATCAGTCTTAGGAAGGATCTACGAGAAGATATTGAGTTGCCATTTTGGAGTGGGCTTTTGGTGGAAACTCTCGTTGGAAATCGCGAGTGTATCTGTGCTAGGTCTGTATTTCAGAGAGATGCGGGTTAAGAAATATGTATGTCAAAGGCATCAGCTGGAGGGTTCAAGATTTAGCTTATGTGTATGTGCTCTGGAATGGTATTACCTGTGTGAATGTCAGGCAAGTTATGGGGCTTCAGAATTATAGCAGCAACATATCGGTTCGACAGTTAAGGAAATCAATATCTTGTATCTTATTGTGTTCATGGAATTGTTATCATCAGGAGTTGAATAGATAGTTTGATGGATAAGTGTCATGGAGTTAGCACTGGTTCAGTATGGGCCGTCTGTCAGGGAGTCAAACCAACTCGAGACTTCAGATTTTAGGTAGAATAGGTTGGGTTTCTGCATGGGATTATGGATTTGTCTTCTTCGGGTTGGAAGTTTTGTTGGGTTCGGTTGCCATAGGAAGGTCGTCGTGTGTTCAAGGTTGTAGATGTGTCCATCTGGCTGTCGGGCATGCCGGGATGGTAAGGAATGATTTCGAGGACGAAATCGAATTTAAGTGGGCGAGAGTTCTAACACCCGGTTTTGAATCGCTTCATTATGTGGGGCTGTGACCCGATCATCAGTTATCATAAGGCTTGAAGACCCTGGGGGGAAGAAATGATTTGGCCCTTTTTGGATGAGGGTGATAAAGTCTAAATGATCTGAGTGTTCGATGGTGTTTCGGATCCTAAGGGCACAATCGCAATTTGTTAGTTTGGTCCTTTATGAAATTTGGGTAGTTTTCAGGCTAAGGTGAGTTGTTAGAAGTGTAGGGCTTCTCGTCACCTTTCCGTGGATATAAAGTTCGTCGGAAACGAACTTAGATCGAGGAAGTTATGGTCTTCGGAATGTTTTAAGGTTTAAGAGGGAACCCTAGTACGCGTGGCGTACAACAAATTACACTTGGCATACTAGCTGAGACGCTAGTACGTGGGGCGTACCTCTGGTGTACGCTTAGCGTACTAGTGGGTAAGAGTCGCGGGTCAGTAGCCTCGTACGTTGGGCGTACGAGGGGGGAGGGGAATGGAAAACCCTAATTTTCATGTTTGTACCCTATATAAGCTTTATGTTAGTACCTTTGGTTCATTTCTAAGCTAGCCTCCATACCCTAAAAACCCTAAATCAACCTTGTTGCCTCTTGGTGGTGTTCTTGAGCTATTGGAAGGCTTTTGTGCACATTTTGCCCTTAGGAAGGAAAGAAGAGAAGCCTGAAATTGTTTGGCTTGGTGGAGAGGCTTTGGATCCAAAATCATCATCTTGTGGGGAAGCTTTTTGAGGTATCAAGTTTGCATCTTGGTTTGTATATGTATAGATCTCTTATTGGTTAGTTTGTTGTGATGTTTGTCTCCTTTTGGGTCTATGGATGAGTTAGGGTTGTTTAAGGGCTTGTTCTTCCAGATCTAAGTTTGTTTTGGTATCCTTGGGCATAAATGTGCAAATTTTATGATGGTTTTGGTTCCATGCATGTATTAAGTCAAGTATTAAGTTCCTTTGAGCTCTAGAGTCCCATTTACCCATGCATGCACGTAAAGTTGGCAACTTTATGTGATTAACCACCTTGGGGAAGTTAGATCTGATTTTGGATCCAGGTCTTAATGGATTAAGTGCTAAATGGAAAGATGGTTATGGCTGGTAAGTACGTTGGGCGTACAAGTATGTACGTTGTGCGTACAAGCCTTCCATGTTGTACGTTGAGCATACAGGCTGAGTACGTCCCGCGTACTCGGCATACTTGGGCTCTTTTGTTTTGGGCTTGGTTGTGTTGGGCCATGTTGGGTCATCTGGATTTTTATAGTTGGGTTGTTGTGGCTTGTTGGACTTTCTTGGTTGGAGGCCAACGAAAGGGATTGGGCCCAATTTGGAAAATTGGGCCATATTTGGACTTTGGATGTTTATTTTGGATTTTGGGTCTTTTGTCATCTATTTTGGACCTTGGCCTTGGGCTAAGCTTGAGGAAGGGTAAAAATGTCTTTTACCCGAATTTGGACTCATAGTGTGAGTCAGGGGCTTGATGTTGATGGGTTGTCGTTATGGTATTTCATAGCGCATGGATTTTTAGCAGATATGCAGACGAATATTATTCGTGGGATCAATTGTTGATGGGGTGTTGTCTTGATATTGACAGTTCGGGGATAAGTCAGCCAGCAAACAGGGATCGTCTCTGTGATTCGGCAGTGCGAGTTGAGTTTTCCTCACTGTACTTACAGGTCGAAGGCACCAAGGCCGTCCCTTTGGATTGCTATCCTGATTATTGTATGATTGAGTATTGTAGTGATCTGTTAGATTTGTATCCTGGTAGATAAGATGATGTTATGCTTAGTGATCTATAAAATACGTCTGATTGTCTGTTGACTGGTTATATGTTTTGCTGAGTATATGTCGTTGTGATGTGGTTGGGTTGAGACTATACCGCTTCGTGCTGTCAGTCAACAAACACGGTAACGTTATATCGATATGTTGTTATAGTTTACTGGGCGTATATGTGTTTTGGATTTTTATATGTGTGTCGACACGATGTATGTGTGGTTAGGTTGAGGCGGTCCTGCTTAGGCCAACAGACCCAGGTCATCCCAGATTTCTGAAGGCTAGTAGGGCATACCAGTCAGGCCGAAGGCCCGAAGAACGATCCATATAGGCTGAAGTCCCGGTGAGGTGTACGAGTCATGCTGAAGGTTCTGTGAGCGTACTAGATGGACTGTAGGCCGGTAGGGTGTTCCAGTCATGCTGAAAGCCCTGTATGCATGTTGTTTGTGGTATATGTTATCTGTTGTGTGTTGGTATTTTAGGGGAACTCACTAAGCTTTGTGTTTACAGTTTTGGTTTATGGTTTCAGGTACTTTTGAGAATCGTGACAAGGCGAAGGCGTGACCGTACACATCCGGATTTTCTGTCATTGATCTTGGGAGGCACTGATTTTTAAATAATGTTTTGAGAACACTAATTTTGTAAACATTTTTATTAGTAAAATAGGTGTTTTGAAAAGTTTAAAATTGTTGAAATTTTTGGGATGTTATAAGAAATGAGCTTCAAACTTGCATGCATGCCTCAAATCTATACCAACTTCCAGATCTGAACACTATAAGGTTCTTAGACTCTAAGAATCCATAAAGTTGCCAACTTTATGGATGTACTCCACTCAATCAAGCAATAACATCAATAAAATGGACAAAAATCAAGATCTACCCATGCTAAGCAATAAAGTTGGAGCCTTTGATACTTATAAGGGTCCAAAAGCAAGAAAAAATGATGATGATGCTAATTCTCTGTCCACACCAACACTAGAGTACTTCCTTCTTCTTCTTTTCTTCTTCCCACAAGCTAGAATGCTCCCAAATGACAAAGGATTTCAAGGAAAGGTAATATTATGGTTTATGGAGGCTTAGAGAGTGATAGAGACTGAGGGTGAGGAACCCTAGCCCTCTCATTCCCTTAAATACCGAAAACTTAGGGTTTTTGGTCGCCAACCGCCTTCATGTCATGAGCACTATACTGCTCACGTCGTGGACTTTTAAATGATGCACGCGTCCGGATAAATCCTCACGACGTGAAAAGACAATATTCACGTCGTTAGCAGGGCAATTACTGAAACTTATAACTTCGCACTATTAAGATAATACATACCTGATCCGGGTGTTACACCACAACTCGAAGTGCTTATGTGGCTTAGGAAAGCTGTTATATTAGGTAGCAATGGCCAAAAAAATAGGAAGACGTACACTTTATACCTCTATAAAGCTTTAAAATGACTTTAGGGAATGAATCAAACAACTTTGGAAACATTGTAGGGCTTTTGTGTCATTTCCACTAAATGACAAATTTTTTAAGCAATGTGAGGTATGACGACACTTCCTCTAGCCTGGGAGAAAAAAATTAATGGATTACACATGTCATTGATTATACATATCATTATTTAATATGAATATAAAAAGATAGAAAAAGGCAGGAAGATATTTATTTTCTCTTCTAACTAATATATAAAATAGATTAGATGGAAATTGAAAATTTAGCCTTATATAAAATATATTTATTTATTTATCAATATCAATGACCCTCAGGCCTCAACTCAAGTGTGCACTTACGCTTGGCTTAAGCAAACAAATCATACACATGTCTACACTAAGTACAATGTAGGGATCTTGTTTACACCAAATCCATTATTATAATATGCATGAATACAAATCATTGCATCTTTTATCATTTTCATTTCAAACTCAAAACCTTAATAAAATGTAAAATCAATGGAAGCAAGTAAACACAACACCACATCACATCATCAAGGGTTTATCCAAAACATCAATCACGAATCACTTTCAATTTTGCTTCCTTTTTAATATATAATATATTTGATAAAAACCGCACACAGAACGAAGTTAAATACAAATTGTAAAACACAATCCGAAAACACTCTTTTCAAAAATATGATTCATATGCAACAAAAAAGTCAGATAATATCATAAAAAAAATGCAATTGATATATAATAAGAAATTAAATACCCAATTATCTTTTGTTTCTATATATTTTTCTACTCATAAAATAATGACATTAATTCTCTTTTTTTAACGACACAAAATTCATTAATCCTTTTTTTTTAATCATTTCTTGAAAGAAAATTAGAGAATATTTGATTTCTCGTATATATAATCCATCTGCTATTGCAAACATGGATCTCCATATCAAGTTGTCTCTCCTAAAGTAGAAAAAGAAGAGGAAAAGATCTGTTCATAACACCAACATGTCTGTCCATAATATCAAGAAAAAGTACACTTACTGATCATCTGATGTCTCTTTCTATTTCCTTTTATGCTTTTTTTTTTTTTGATCCTAAAAACATCATTCCAAGTTTTTCAGGTAATTAAGGTGTACCGTTTTCCTTTTCTATGGTGATGCTGAAATTATATACAACAACTTCAAGGTATAAGTCCATAACCACCTTTACCCAACCAAAAAAAAACCGACAAAAGTTTCTGTTTTGTGCATGAATTTTTAAAAAGCTAATTTCTCGATGATTTTTGGCCCACTGTACATCGCTCCAATCACAGACAAGCCTTTTGGTTTATCTATCTCTTCCAGCCATGCATAGCTTTCTATCTTCTCTCCCTCTGGTAACTTTTTCTCATCATCTGTTTCTGTTATATATTTTATATACAGAAACCAAAAAGTTAGTTTTTTATTTCATTTTTATAATTTTATGAAGATAAATAAATAACGAAAAGTGAACCTGATAAATCCATAAAAGGATGAGTACGATAGTATTGGCAATGTCTGCCTTCAGGATCACAATATGGTGGGCCCAGAACATCAAGAACTGCACATGACGTCATTGCAGTGAAGCAGTGCATGTTTCCACCATCAGTTGGATACAGAATGGAGGCGTTGCATGGAGCAGTGAATTCAGAGTTGACTTTCAGTTTAGCCAAACGAACACCAACATCTCCTGTTTTAATTCACATACATATAAGAAATACAAATGTCGTACTTCCATTGATTTGTTTATTACTTTATTATAGATAGAATCATACTTTCATTTCTTTCTATAATAAGAAAAAAATTTGAAAGTACAATGCTATAATAGAAAGAAATGAAAGTAAGTTGCTATTTCTGGTTAAGAACTCACCTTCTGATGAATCAGGTTTAGGAGTAGAGATTAAAGCAGCATCATCGACCCAATCGTATGCTTTTATATGCATGGTTCCAAACAGAAGCTTACTGAAAACAGTCATCTGAGGGTGATTATGGAGAGGGAGGACACCCGATGGAGGCAGTAGGAAGATTCCAATCTGACATGGCAAAATGGTAAAAGTCAACACTTTTTTTTTCTTAAATTTAATAAATTTTTAAGTAAGTTGAAAACATACCGAAAATTTGTCACATTCACAAAGGTGTAAGTATGTGATTTTAGGAAATCCTCCGATTTCTTTAAGCTTGAAATAGGGCATGTTAGGCCGTACACCAACATCAACTTCAGTCATCCCATCTAAAAAAAAAAATCCAACCGATAAATTATTTATGAAAAAATTAATAAAGTAATGTGTTCGTGTATTTTACGGTTTTGCCCTACAATCTCATGACACATTTAAATAAGTTAAGAATACTTGTTCGACACGTTTTAAACATTATATAGATCTTAAACCTTAAATCGCGATGATATTGTCGTTTTATTCATGTTGGTATCAAATCAAGAAAACACATAAATAATCATGTCATTCTTTCAAGTTTTGAGATTCATGATCAACAATGTATGTCAATTAATGTTCATCAACTACACTTACTAAACAAACAAAAGACGACAAGCGGTTCACCGAATAGGGTTACGTGGTGGCACCGCTAGGGTTACGCCATCATACATAAATAAGAACTTATCTCAAAAAGACGTAACCATTCGATAAACGTTTTGTTTGATAAATGATTATTCATTTTGAATTAAATTTCCGGAAAGTTCAATGGATAAACACTAAAAGCAGAAGATTGTTAGCTTAAATATGAACAGAGTATCAAACGTTTCTATATCTTCCATCATTTTCATTTGGTTGTGTACTCCTTTCTATAATCAGAATTGACTTCAGACTTTTTAGATTCTAACCAATGCTTACTAAATTCAACATATGCATACATATATAGCAAATTTAACAAAATGTTTAACTGTTTAAAGATTTATCAATCATCCAAATTCAAATTTATCCCATTTAACAATAAGTCAAAATTGGACTAATTTCAAAACGGCAACTAAACAACCTATAGCTACAAGACATCAAATTGAATAAACGCATCGGAGAGATGTAGTCAATTAAATCTACCCTGAAATGGGAAAATCAAAATTCAAAATACACCAACCCTACAGATCAAAACGTGCTTTTGATCATTCAGATTCGCTGTAAAGATCATTCATTGCACCGATAAATAGAAAATCAAGAAAGGGACTTTCAAAAATACGCACAAACAGATCCAAATGCTTAAACTGCAAAGACGCATATGAATATCGATCTAAAACTCAAGAATCATAACCATTGTAATCAAAATCTTACTTAAAATATCCTTTAGGCGTTCGATACCCTCAGCATTCGGAATAACTCCAGGGCCACAATCGGCGAAGACCTCTGTGCATGTATCATAAAGCTTCTGAACTGCTGTAACTTTCTTCTGCCTCATTCTCCTTTTCTTTCTTTCACCTGAAACTTTCTCCATGCCCATTTGGCAACCGAACTTACACGCATGCACTAAAACCACCTTTGTTTATGTATAATCTAATGCCCCGGGAAAAAACACAGCAACTTAACTGCTAATCCGATATGGTATCTTCAAAAACTCGCGAAAATGGCGAACTAAAACATAGCAACTTGTAATGATAGATTGATGTAATCTAGAGAAAAAACACAAAGTTACACGCGGTAAACCAACTATTGATCGATAATTCAAAACCCCCCACAAAAAGATAGCTTCTTTAACTGGTAACCGGATATAAATTTCCAAAGGGAGTAAAAATACGATCTGGGTATGAAGAAAAGAAAAAGGATGGGGACAAAAACAGTAAAAAGCAGAATCAGTGAAGAAAGAAAGAAAAATGAAATGGTACTTTGTGGTGATGATTTTCAAGGAAAAGACTGCATCTTTTTGGATGTGACGATGCAACACCTGGAGATGAAGATGAAGATCAAGGTGATTGTGACGATAATGGAGAGGGTTTTAATGGGATGAAAGCGAAGATATAGAAAGAGGTTGATTTTGTTTTGGTTGAAAAGATAAAGAGTTGATTTGGATGTAGAGGGGGAAAGAAATACCAGGGGCCATGGTTTTGGTTTTCCAGTGGGCCGTTCCAACAGCGGATTCAGTTTTTATCGGTCACTTTCAACCTTAATATTTTAAATATTTATTTAAATATATTTTGTTTATTATTCTTTAAAATATTTAATTGTATTTGAATTTTATGCCTTAATTCAAAAAGGAGACAATTGTCGGGAAGAAATCCACTATTTGATACGGATTCGTCAATAACAAAAACAAAATGATTATTTTTCACTTGAAATATAAGATCGGGCTTATTGAATATAAAACAGCAAAATCATGAGGATAATAATAAATAATAGAAAAACTATGGACACATGTAAATCCCCTATAAATGTAATAATAAGGGGCAAATCTGCCTCACAAAACAACAATATAAATTATAATACAAATAATTGTACTTAGAGCATGTATAATATGAACTTTTGAGAGTTATGTTAAGAGTCGTTTATTCCGAAAATTATAAAAACTTGAAAAAACTGTTTGAGAAGCTTTTTTAAAGGTAAGTTTTTTTTTTATAAAGTTGTTAATTAATAAACTCTTGTTATGAAGTTTTTTTAATGATTTTGTGGGTCATATAATTTTTTAACCAACTTTATATAGATAACTTATACAACAGTCACACAAAAACAAATTGAAAATTTTTATTTTATAATGGAGATAAATAAAAGCATCCATAATAAGGGTGCTTTTTACTTGTACTTTTAATAAAAAAAAACTCAAAATACAAAAATTTATTGTATCTTTCTCAATATGATAACTTCTTCATTTTGCTTTTATTTTTCAAAAGTTTTTGTTTGAAAAAGCTCATATTTTAATTGCTCTAAGCTTTTTATTTTAATCTTTTTTCATTAAAAAGCTCCAACAAAATCGCTCATGTTATTGATGTTCTTACTATGTTTTTAGTTCCAATATATGCAACTCTATTTAGTATTTCTTAATTTATGTTAATACATTCCCTAATTTATGCTGATCATTACTTTCTTTTGTTTTTTATTTTTTAACATTTTATTCATATCTAAATAAATAAGTATATAAGAAAAAAAATACTTTTGTATTTAGAGACCAATATTGATATATTTTTATATAACGTTTGATTTTTTTTATATTACAACATATTGTATATTCACATGAACCTATACAAATCATATATTACTCTAACAAGAATTTCCAACGTATCTCTTGGTCATTCTAATACAAATACTCAATGTAGCTAACCCTTACATCCATATAAATACTATTTAGTTGTTTTTATCGATGTAAATGACTAATGTACTAGTTAGTTAAGAAGGTGTCCAATGTGAAAAAAATAATAATAAGAAGAAACATGAAGAACTGATATGTAAATTGAGAGAGAATTAGACAAAGACTAGTTAATTTTCTTCCATTTGAAAAACAGACCAATGAGGAAGGAAAGAAAAACACCATGATCAACGATTGAATCATAATTGAAGTGCTAGTACTTAATTTTGGTATAGATTCAAGTTATGGTTTGAGAAATTTGAGCTAACATCAAGTTTGGAAGGTAAAACTTTCTACGTTATTTCTTCTATGTTGATCTAGGGTTATATATGAAGCCAAATCCGAAAAATCATTACCCCATCTGAGTTTTTAGTTGTTTCCAACATTAATCTAATGATTCGAACTCCAAAACGTCATGCAACCTTACCAAATGTGATTGTGGTGAGGTTTAGTGAGGAAATGGATGATTTAAGCTCCATCCACGGTGGAATCAATGGTGAATTGTAGATGTAACACCCCGTTCATGGTATGCATTTAAAACATTATTTTTCTTCTTATTTTAGAATCTACTCGACGAGTCAGTGGCCCTAACTCGTCGAGTAGCAGCGGGTCAGCACGTGGAGTTGGCGTGGCGACTCGACGAGTCCATATTCCGGACTCGGCGAGTCCGCCAGTCTGGATGAAGCCCTAATTTTCAGGGAGTGTACCCTATTTAAACACCATTATAGCCCCAAACCAGCCTCCTTCACCTCTCAGAGACTTATTCCCGAAACCCTAGCCTCCTTGAAGTGCGTGTGAGTGATCTTTGCCCTTGTGAAGGAATCTTGGTGCATTGTTGAGCAAGAAGAAGAATGAGAAGGTAGAAGAACTCAAGGAAGAAGAAGTAGATCCAATTTATACTCCTCTTTGGCCATCCTTTCTGGTAATAAAGCTTTCATCTTGGTTATTGTATTGCTAGATCTATTTTGTCCCCAAATTGATGGTTTTGAGCTCAAAAACCCCAAATCCCTAGTGATGAAGCTTTGTAATCAAGCCATATCTCGGATCTAGCCTCTCTTGAGTTCCAGGAGCTCAAGAAGGCCACCTTTTGGCAGCCATGGCTTTGTTCTAGACAAGTAACCCCCATAATAGCCAAGTTTGAGTGTTATTGCTTCATTGCATCATGGATACACGTAAAGTTAGCAACTTTACGTGTTCAGATAGTCCCAGAAACCCAGATCTGTGAATTGGATGCACTAAAACTGATTAGAATCGACTGAATAGAAACTGCATGCAAAGGACTCGGCGAGTCAGGTTGCGAGTCTTAGATTCCCTGTTCAGTAGCAGCGAGTCTGTTTAGCGAGTGGAGTAAAGACTCAGTGAGTTAAGACATGGATCTGAGTGTAGAGGGACTCGGCGAGTCTACGCCCTGACTCGGCGAGTTCAAGGCAATCTCCTTACCCGTAAGACCAGACTCGACGAGTTGTTCATACAACTCGGCGAGTCACAGACTGGACGTGTTCTTATGTTGAAGGTGAAATCGACGAGTTGTTCATACAACTCGGCGAGTCGGATGAAGGTTAGCAGGATATCAGTAAAGAAGGAGAACTCGTTGAGTTTTGGTTAAACTCAACGAGTAGAGTCGGGAAGGGGAATAGAAGGAAAGATACGGACTCGACGAGTTGGCGGCCTAACTCAGCGAGTCAGGTCAACAGATTGTTGACTTTGACCAGGGGGTAAAATAGTCATTTTACCCTAAGATTAGTTATCAGCGTCTGATTAAGTGTCTTTTGGGAATTGTAGCCGGGGAGTTACCGGAGCAGCAGTCAGACAGTTCCCGAGCAGCATTTCAGCAGCCAACCTTACGAGATGAGTTTTCCTTCCGGTAGGAACGGGTATACGGCCACAATGCCGACCCGTTTAGTTAGCAGTAGTTCCGGACTACAGTCTGATGCAGTAGTTCAGTATGCTTGGTGTCTTTGTGATACAAGCATGGTATGTGTTATGTGTTCCAGACTATGGTCCGATGCAGTATGCAGTATATGTGTTCATATTATATGCTATTATTTTGTTATGCTATGTTCATTCAGTTTCGGACTTTGGTCCGATGCAGTTCCAGACTTCGGTCCGATGCAGTGGGCAAGGCCCTAGTTAGTTCCGGACTTCGGTCCGATGCAGTGGGCCTTGCTCTAGTTAGTTCCGGACTTCGGTCTGATGCAGTGGGCAAGGCCCAGTATGTGCTTTATATGTTATTGTATGGTATGTGGTAGTTTGGGGGAGCTTACTAAGCTTCGTGCTTACAGTTTCAGTTTTGGTTTCAGGTACTTCAGCTAGCAAAGGGAAGGGCTCGGGATGATGGCATGGCACACACCACAGTTTAGCCTGGGAGTTAGACTCTGGTATTTTGATATGATCTTGACACTAGTTTCGATTTGATAAATTTATTATGACATTTTGAGATACACGATTCATGGTTTTTATCTCTTAATATTTGACATTATGGTTTAGTAAAGTTTTCAAACAAAAATTTTGGGTTGTATTTTTGGGATGTTACAGTAGAATTTGATGGAATTAGTAGTACTTTGATGGTTTAAAAGTAAATCTATAGTTAAAACATCAACGATCATCACTTATTTCTCAACTTGGATCAATTTGAGTTTATGCATTTAAATTAGGGCTTGAATAGTGAACCATGTAGTTTTTGAAGGAGACTTCTAATTTGATTTGTTAATGAATGGAAAATGCCATGGATGAAGTCTTAGATCATGCACATGTAGGTTAATTGGTGGTTGATAAATCGAGAATGATTTTGGAGAAAATGGAGTTTGAACTGCAACAATTCTAGAATCACCAATTCCAACTCCTCGACTCAATGTAATTGGTTATTCTATGGTGAATTAAGTAATCTAAAAGCTTAACTTGTTTGAAAAGTCATTAAGAACTTATTAGTTGCTTAAGAATTGATATGAGTAAAAAAACTATTAAGAACTTCAGAGACAAAGTTGGTGTTGGAGGTTCACATGAGTTTCTCTAAAGCTCTTGTGGCTTTAAATTGTCTTAACAATTAAGTCAATAGCAAGGAATTGATTTATTAAGATGAATTAATGTTATTATGCCTTATTAATGTTATATATGGCTATTGGTAAAGCTTGAGAACCATATAAACAAAGTATAATGGTCAAATGAGAAAGAAAATTAAAAAATAGAAGTATTGTGTGGAACACGTTGCATAATACATTGAATGAATAAAATATAAATTTTGCAATTAAAAGCTTAATAAGTGACTTAATGGAACACTTAGTAGGATTTTGAAACTCCTAATGATGTTTATAGTAACCAAGATTTAGACTAAGACGACTACATACCCAAAGTACATGTCCCTAAAAAACTAATTTGAAATGTGTGTTTTGGGTATGCTATGTTGTAATTATGTTGTAACGTCCCATTTTCACCACCAAAATTTTTCATTTTTATTAAGGTGAAAACTTTCCAATTTATAAATCCATTATTAAGAAAACCGTTTATTCCATATTACATCTGTTCAAAATCAGAGTTTTATAGAAAACACAGAATCTTCAATGCTGCTGATGTGTGTATACAGTCCCGCCTTCGCCTTCCCATAGACACCAATGATACCTGAAACAATAAACAACTGGATAAGCATAAAGCTTAGTGAGTGTCCTACAAAATACCACCATATAAACAGATCACATATACAATCAAACATGTCGGGTCCAGTCAACCATCGGGTTGGAATTGTTGGATAAGGTGTCTAAGTCCATAACTATTTCTGGTATGTACTTGA